CCGCAGCGCTCAGAGCGGTGGAGCCTGTCGAGCTCCCGCTGCCTCCTCCCCACTCCTGCTGGCGACCTCGGAGTCCGTTCGCTGGACGCGGCCGGGGGAGAGTCTGCGGGCCCGGGATGCCTGCCTCGGCCGGCTCCCCTGCCCCCCCCCCTCTGCAAACATCTCCCGTGAGGGGCGCTGAGGGCTGGGCGTCGGGGTGGACGTCGGGCTTGGCGTCGTGGGTGGCGTGAATCGCCAAACTCGTGAGCGTCACGCTGGTGGTGGCTGCCGTCGTGGCCGCAATGCTGGACAGTCCATAGGCAGCGTTGGTGTCGGGCAGGGCGTCTGCGAAGCGCAGTCGCCGCGTCTCGCTGGGTCGAGCACCGCGCGAAGCGCACTCGACGCGTCTCGCTGGGTCGAGCAGGGCGTCGGGTGGGCCCGCTGCCTCTTCCTCTGCCTTTTCGACGAGCTCGCCAATGCTGGTTTGCTCGAGGCTGTGGGATGGCATCAGAATAAGATTTCTCCAAGGTGGTGGCCTCGCCTGAGGCGCTGTTGCGGACACCATCCGCGTCGGTTTGGTCGTCGGGTAGACCGTAGGATGGGCCGTCGGGGGGGCCGTCGGGGGGATATTGGGGCAGTCTGTTGGCTGGGCTGCAGGGTCGGCTGGGCTCCATGCTGGGTCCACACTGCATGTTCGACAGAACCACCTGAACAAAGGGACAAAACCGTTACCACCACACCAGCGCATGCCACTGCAAACAGTCGTCACTGCAGGGTCCCTCCACCACAAGGGCCAATTGCAGTCGGTGCACCCAGCACCTTCCATCATTATCATCCTCACTTTTCTCTTCTTCGTCCTCTCTTCCCTCCTTTCTGGTCCCTCCTAACTCCTCGTTCTCTCTCGCTGTCTCCCTCCCTCTCTCTCCCTCTCTCTCACTCTCTCTCTCTCTCTTTCTATCTCTCTCGCTATCTCTCAATCTCTCTGTCTCTCTCTCTCTCTCTACATACATATTCCCCAAACAGGGTCTTTACTTGTGTCTTAAGGAAGTACATGGGTCCGGCGAGGTTTTGCCACGTTGTCGCCTCGTTGCCGCCTCATGCGATGAGTGGGTTCAGCGAGGTTTCGGGCCATGTTGCCGCCCAGTGCCGCCTTGCTGCCGCCTCGTGCGCTGGGTGGGTCTGGCGAGGTGTCGCCACGTTGCCGCCCGTTGCCGCCTCGTTGCCGCCTCATGCGCTGGATGGGTCTGGCGAGGTTTCGCCACGTCGCCGCCTGGAGCAGCCTCGCTGCCGCCTCGTGCACTGGGTGGTCCTGCGAGGCTTCGCCACGTTGCCGGCCAGTGCCGCCTCGTTGCCTCCTCGTGCACTGGGTGGGTCCTGCGAGGTTTCGCCACGTTGCCGTCTGTTGCCGCCTCATTGCCTCCTCGTGCGGTGGATGGGTCCGGTGAGGTTTCGCCACGCTGCCGCCTGGTGCCGCCTCGTTGCCGCCTCCTGCCCTGGTTGGGCCCGGAAAGTTTCGCAACCTTGACGGCCGATGCCGCCTCGTTGTCGCCTCTTCGTGCGCTGGGCGAGTCCAGCAAGGTTTCGCCACGTTGCCGCCCCTGGCCGCATATCTGGATACGATTCGTTCCTCGTTGTTGCTGTTCCCTCCTTCTTCAACATCTGCCTTCTCTCCGCGCACCTGCTCCTCATTATCATGCTACTGCTGCTGTTCCGCCATTTTCGTCCTAAGAATCCGGCTCGTCCTCATGCTCATCCTCCTGTTCATCCACATCCTCCTTATCCTGCTTCTATTCATCATCATCCTCTTCATCATCATCAGCAGCAGCATCATCACCACGATCAACATACACATATCATCATCACCACAAGCACCACCATCACCACCACAACCATCACCATCATCATCATCCTCGTCCAATGTACACCCCCCCCTTCTAATTACGCGTCACGCGATGCGGTTATTTTCAGGATCAAGGTCATCTAGAACACTTCAGCGAGCGGATAGAAAACCATTCAGCGCCATGAGAAGGGATCGGCGGGAGGGGTAGGATACCATATATGGCGCAACTGCACCTAGCTTGCCTTCCCCTCTCTCTCGTTCCTCCTCTTCCTCCTCCCTCATCCGCCATCCATATCTCCTTCATCTACATCCTTCCCTGCGTCTCCTCCTCCTGCTCCTCCTGCTTCTCCTCCTCCGTCCCTATAGTTCATCCCTGTCGCACCCCAGACATGTCGGTAGGTCGGCCGAGCGTTTCGCCTGAGACTCCCCTACCATTTATGGTCCTGAAACTTGACCTTTCCAACAGCTTCCTGGATGGAGGGCGGGTCGTTTTCAAAATGTTGCCCTCGCCTTAGCTCCGCGCACACTCGCTTTCAAAGGTTCCAACGGTTTCAAGGATGGACGACAGGTGGGTTTTCAAAATGTGAATATCGCCTTCGCGCGGCGCATACTCGTCTTACAAATGTGCAACATATTCAAGGATGGAGAGGGGGGTCAATTTTTAATGTGGCCCACTACCATGCACAATCGTTTCAAAAGTCTGCACCCACTGAAAGACTTCGCATGTTTGACGACCCACGAATGATAGTCTGGCACGGTGTAGGTCTGTCTGGACGCAACGTCACATTGATGCGCGATGCTGAAGTCCCACAAATGGTGTTCTGACACGGTGTGGGATTTTCACGACACGACAGTCACGCTGATCTACGGCGTTGAAGTCTCAAGAACGGTTTGGGCACGATTGGAATTCTCAAACGATTGTCATATGATGGGCCACTTCCCGCGATGACCACTAACTCTTATAGGTCCCTGTGAAGAGGACACTTGGAGGGATGGTTTATTGCAACATCGTTGATACGTCTTCCTCCCTCCTTTTCCGTCCTCCTCCTTTTTGTTCCTTCGTCCTTCATCCTCTCCGTCTTCTGCCCCCGTCCATCCCTGCACCCCTCCTCCTCACCCACACCCTCAGGACCCTGCCTCCCTTCTGGGAAGCTGGCAACCACATCCACGGCCTCCAGCCCTGGACAGGCCCATCCTGGGCCCCACTCTGGTGCACAGACCGCCACGGAACACGCATGCCACAAGGGGCTGCACATTGTTAGCCCCCGCTCCCTTCCCTCCTCGTTTCCATTGGCAAGGCACCACAGCTTCGAGGCTCGGTCGGCGGCGAGTTGGGTTCAACAAGCGGTAAAGCACAAGGCGGGGCGGATCCGCGGCGAGTTCACGCACAGGGGCGCAGGCGGGCGAGGGGCGAGGAGCAAGTAGGGATGTACACAGATCGGTGGCCCAAGACGGGCCTGACCAGGGCCAAGGAGCTGCATTTGATGTTTTGTACTACTTTTCTTTACTGACCAGGACCGAGGAGGGGCGCAGAAGCCGAGAGGTGAAGCAGGGGACAGAGGGGCAGGCGGGCGGGGGGACATGGGGGCGGGAGGGAACGCGAGGGAGGGCGGGTGGCGGGGAACTGCTTCTAGACCGGTGAGCCGGGGCCCCAAAGCGTGCGGTGACGGACCGCGTGGTTGCCTCGGAATCCCCAGCAAAACCTCACTGCGCGGTCCGCCACCGCACGGTCTCACCGCGCGGTGTGGTCACGACGCCGCCTGGGGGCCCCCGGCGTGAGGAGCCCCGTCGGCGTGCCCTCTGCCCCCCGGCGCCTCCCCGCGCACGCCACGGCTCGCCTCGCGTGGCCCCGGGGTCGGCCGCGGCACGGCTGCCCGGCCGGGCGCGCCCGCGGGTGCTGCGGGGAGAGGAGCTGGACGCGCCGCCTCCCTGCACGCGTGCTGTGAGCTCTGTGCCGAAGTGAAGTCTGAAACTGACCGTCGTCGTCGTCGTCGTCGTCGTCGTCGCGTTGACGACTACGGCGGGCACGCGCAGCCCACACAGGGGCGGCGAGCGAAGTCCGTGGGTCTAGAACCTGCGGCTCCCTCCGCGTGAGCCTCCTGCACACACAGCGGGTCCAGCAGGCACCACGCCTGTGTGTGTTCAGGCCGTCGCTCTTCCGAGCGCAGCCTGCGGCCTGCTGGGCCGAGCCTCTGCATCACACTCTCTGATGCTCTGGTACCGTGTCGTGGGACACAGTCGTGGCACTTCAGCCTTCCTGCACATTCGCATGTCCGCGGGGCCCCCGCCTCCTCCGAAGGTTTAGCTCAATGTCCACCCTTCGTGCTGGTGCGCCAGATTTCTGCGCGGGCCCAGCGCAAGACAGAGTGCGCGAGCCCCAGACCATTTACTCTCGTTTCGGATTGCACATGCAATGCAATCTGCGGAATATGCGCGGACACCGGCGCGAAAGTTGAACGATCGCGTTGGTGTGGGGGGGGGCATTGGGGATTTTCCTGGGGTTGGATGTGTTGCGATCGATGTGGTTTCGGGTGCCCTGGGGGTAACGTTTGCGTCATTCGGGGACACTTCGGGACTGTTTTGTTTCTTCAAGATTTGGGGCTACTCGTGGATATTATCCCGCCTGGTTTAATGTTGGGCTTGTATTGAAGTTATTCCTGACTGGGTTCAGTAGGGGCTTATGTGTGTTGGAGATTGTTGAGGCTAGTTAATTTATCATTCTATAATTACGGGCGCAAGTTGCGTTATTGGTTGTGCTCCTATGATGTTGAGTACAAGTGTGGGCTATGTTGGGTTCGGGTTGAAACTATTGCTGGTGATCAGGATGACGGCGCTTTTCTGGGGGGAACTCGCCATGCGCGCGTCAGACCCATTCTACGCATTCGACGTACCGCTGGCTCACGAAGGGTTCTCTCAAGTTCAACGCGACAACACACAAACAAACAGAATTCAGGCACGTCACTCGCGTTTGTCTCGTGAGTGTTTCTGCGGTAGTTTCGTGCGCAGAGATGTCGACAGCAGGCAGGGCGTCACATCGCCGTAAATACACTTGGCGTGAGCACTATGATTTTGGGTAGGACTATCTCAGCAGATGACTGGGATATTTTCGAGGTCGTAACGTGAAGTAGGCGCCTCTCGAGGACTCCCTACCCTCCCTCCCCATTCCGCCCGAGGCGGGGACCTGGCGGCGCGCCAGCTGGCTTCGGGTACAGCAAGCCCGTCACGGGGCCGCCATCGCCACCGCCGGACGCCATCCGCACAACTTGCCTTTTCACAGGGTCCTCCGCGTAAGGCGTGAGGGGGGCCCTCTTCCTCCTCCTGCTCCTGCTCCGCCTCCTGCCCTTTGTTTGCGTTTGGCAAACATGAACGACGAGGCTGTTGCGCTCTTCTTAGCCAAAAAAACAAAGAGTGCAGACCAGTAATCAGTAAGGTCACCTCAATGCAGATTGAGCGGCGCCATAGGTGCGAAATGAAAGAAAAGTGGAGAAGCCCGCGAGGGCGTGAAGTATTAGATATGCAAGCGTCGGCAAGTAGCCCCCTCCCACCCCGCCCAGCTCCGCAATCCGATCCCTCTCTTGACAAGGACCCTCACCAAGGGCAGTTCGAATCTCTTCACCAGGGGCAGCAGGCATTCAGTTTCAAAAATGACCTCGACGAGGGAGTGTATAAGCATACTGAGTGCGATGAACCACCCACCGCCTCCAACCTCAAAGTAGATTCTCCACCATAACCACCTGCTCCAGATGCGCCGTACCCAAGATTGCAAGGAACCTGCTGGGTATGAGCTGTTGCCGCACTTGTCCGCATCAGGGTTAAAATTGGCCACGATTCAGTCCCAACATTCCGAATGCAGAGCGACAAGATAACGATGCGCAAGTTGATACTTACTGGCGGCGCTAAGTGTGACAGTAGTGATGCCCGATCTGCATCTCAACTCACACCCAACTGCCCTCGTCGAGGGATTCACCGGTTCTGCATATCAATTCACACCCTACTGCCCTCGTCGAGGGATTCACTGGTCTGCACAAACACCTTAGAAACGATCCTCCTGCTTCTCCTCCTCCTCCTCCTCCTCCTCCTCCTCCTCCTCCTCCTGCGTCTCCTCCTCCTCCTCCTGCGTCTTCTCCTCCTGCGTCTCCTCCTCTTACTACTCCTCCTCGTCGGAGGCATGGTGCCACGCGCGGTCCTTCAGCTGCCTTTGGATGTCAAGGACCTCGGCTCGGGCTGCCACTGCTCAGGTCAAAGGCCAAATAGCCCTGTTGACTCGAAAAGCGTCAAGGGCAAGACAACCCTGGAAATTCACATTCCCAGTGGAGCGCCTGCACCGTCACCAGGAGGGGTGTTCACAGCATCGGACATCGAACTCAGTCACATCCAGGCGCCGTTCCAGGGACGGCTTAAAAAGTGGAACACCCAATCGTATCTCCCCTTCGACGCACGCTCTCAAGCCTGCAAAGAGAGGAGGTGAGCTCCAACCGTGGTGGATCAGCAACGAAAACAAGTCAGAACTGCACACATGGTCGCACTGGTCGAGCAAGATTCAACAACGAACACGATTCTGCATCGCATTCGGCGTCTGGACGCTCCCAGGAGGCCGTTGGAAGCCCATGGAAGCCCCTGGAGTCTCCATGCGGGTTTGGTAAGGTCTCCCATGGAGGCTCTTAGAAGCCCCCTGCGTCTCTCACCACAAGGGGTAGCCACGTCGCGGTGTGAGGCGTCCTACAGCAGCGCAGGGGGGGGATCTCGTAGAGTTTGGCTTCAAGGCTGCAACCTGGGACGCAGGAGACAATTTGGAACGAAAGCTCTCGACAAGGCAGAAGAGCTGAACACGCGCGCGCACACACACACACACAACATCCTGCAGTGCGATAGCCTCCTTCAACTCTTGCCTTCCGGAGACATAGCCCGTAATCCTACGCCAGCGGCCATCTCGCACTCGGGTCCGAGGCCTTTGATCTCCTTGACCTCCACGCTGGCTAGCCTCACACTCCCGCAATGGAACCAGGCGCTAGTGCAAAATGCGTCGCAGAGATAAAAAGAAATGAAGAAAAGACGGAAACAGGAGGTGTTGGGAAGGGGAAGGAGAAGGAAGGACGGGAGGGCGGGAGGACGGGGGGGAGGGGGAGGCCAGAAGCGGGAGGGACGTGAAGGATCATCGAGGGAGGAGCTCATCCACACTCTCCTCCCTCTCCTCCCCACGATGAGCCTGGAAGGGGAACCTTCACGCTGTGCAGGTGTTGAGGGCACTGTCGGCAGACCAACAAGCCGTCATGCTTGGGGACGGCACCTCGAAGTTACTGTCCTGTAGCGTGGGCATACACACGAGAAGGCCTTGGCCCCGTCGCTGCATTCACCTCGAGGCCCGCCCATACACCCGCTCCAACTGAGCAGCAGTCCATGAAACGGAACAGAAAGGACAGGAAGATCCGATCACTCAACACAAAGCGCATACGTCAAGCTGACACACTGCGGGGTCAGGGTCCAAAAACACATGGGATTTGCCACATTTCTGAAATTCGATGGCTCCCCTCACGCAGATCGGCGGGGTCAGGGTCCGAAAACCCATGGGATCCTCAACATTTTTGAAATTCGGTGACACCCCTCACGCGAATCGACAGGGTCAAAGTCCAAAAACACGAGGGAATTGCTACATTTCTGACATTCGGTGGCACCCCTCACGCAGCTCCGTAGGATCAGGGTGCAAAAACAGACAGGATTTGCCACATTTCTGAAATTCGGTGGCACCCCTCACGCAGATCCGTAGGGTCAGGGTTCAAAAACAAACAGGTCCCGACACTGCTTCACGGCGGCGCCCAGACCGCATGATTTAGCTTTTGCATCTCCCATTATCCGAGACAGGGGGCTGGCGGCATGGGGCGAAGCCCTTACGGATCATCTGATCAACCCCATGACGGAAAACCAGCCCGCGGTGGTGCTGTATATGCGTGGGCCCACAGACGCAAGCCCACTAGTATATCCCAGTTATCCCCAGGCACTCCCAAGTCCAAGGAATCCCGCAAGCAAGCCTCGCGTGCGAGTCCAGCGGAGAGGGGAAGCAGGGGGGCAGGGAGCACAAGGGGCAACTGGTGGGCTTGCATCGCTACGTGGGGGGGCTACTTTCTAGGTAGGGAAGCATGGATCTGGCTTCCTGTACCAAACCGGCTGCCAGCAGGTGAGATATATGTGAAGGATATGGCCCAGCGACAGCGGCTCCCCAAACACTGCTGGCAGATAACCCCCCCCCACAGCAGCGTGCGGTCTATAGTTGTACAGGGGGCCGTAAAGCATGGCGCCTAGTCGCTGGTTCATGGAATCAAGGTGCACGAGTGGGTTTGTTGACTGTGGCCCCAGATCTAGTGGCGCATCTTATGCTTAATCACCCCTGGCCTGTTGGTCAGCTTGATGATCTCTGGAAGCAGCCAGACACTCGGGCACTCTTCTGCCCAGGAGCTATGGGCGGAGTGCTCCATGATCGCAGGTGTGCCATGGAGCCGTGCGCCGCTTAGGAGCAAAATGGCTGCCCTGAGTAGTTTATGTCCAAGCTCGTGCCGCTCTACGTGCGGAGATGTACCCTAGCCCCCAGACTTTGCTGGCACTACGACAGGGACAGGGGGGCTTAGCAGCTTCAGGTGAGGGACGGCACGGGCGACAGACCATGACTCACAAGGCGGATCCGCAGGACCTCCCGCCACCCTTCCCGAACGTGGGAGATCAAGCCAGAGGTTGACTGATAACCTTTGGATAGATCGCCGAATTCAGGACGGTCACGATGTCAATACCAAGCACATGAAGCCTCGTGGGGAACCTGGTCACGAGTTGCTCCGCGTGGTCCTGAACATCACCCCCCTTCTGTGCCCAGAGAAAAAATGCAGGATGAACACATAGGCCGGACAAAAACAAGAACATGGAATGGGGGATAGCCGCAAGGTCCCCCCTCCTCATCCTCATGCCTCTCCACCTCCTCCTCCTCCTCCTCCTCCTCCTCCTCCTCGTCCTCCTCGTCCTCCTCGTCCCCCTCCCCCTCCTCCTCCTCCTCCTCCTCCTCCTCCTCCTCCTCCTCCTCCTCCTCCTCCTCCTCCTCCCCCCTCCTCCACCTCCTCCTCCTCCTCCTCCTCTTCCTCCTCCTCCACCTCCTCCTCCTCCTCCTCTTCCTCCTCCGCCGCTCCTTTTCCTCCTCTTCCTCCTCCTCCCCTCAAGCCATTTGGGCTCCAACCATCTGGTGGGGCCGACTCTGGTGCCTGCACGGGGCGCTTGAAGCATATCGTACATGTCTTCCTCCCCAAAGTTTCTCACGATAACTAAAACAGGAGTTTCTGATCCATCGTGTATTCCTCGTCTCCGCGTCTGTGGAGCCGTTGCAGCTCATGCCGACGGTGCGAATGGAACGATGTTCTCAGCAGTCAACACAACATGTGCCGTTGAGGCGAGAAGCTGAAGGCTTTCCCTCAGCCAGTCCAAAAGGGTCTCGTTCGGAGGCGTAGAGGAGAAGCCTGCTGGCGGGTCAAGCTCTCCACCATGGAGGACACCCACTTCGATCACGTACTACTTGCTGGCGGCCATCGCTGCCTCCGATGACCCTGAGCTGACGAAGGCGCTCAAGGCCAAGGTGGACTCCCTTGCAGCCCACCAAGCCCTCCCCCGAGACGTCCGATGCCGCCATCGACTCCATGACCGAGGGGGTGTGGAGGGACTGCAACCACAAGCGCGACCAGGCGGTGGCCAACGCTCGGCGACTGAAGGCCAGGCGTTGGACACCACGGAGGAGAAGGAGAGGACGGCTGCCCGCGCGCTTGCTTCCGCCGAGAGCGGCAAGAGGCAGGCAGCGCAGGCCATCGCACGGGCAGCTGACCTCAGCTCCCCCACCACAGAGGGACACAAGCCAGTTTTCGAGGTCTCCTGGGATGCCTCCATCTTCGACGACCTGGAGCAGGTCAAGGTCGAGGAGCATGAGCGCACCCAGTGGCAGGCCATCCATCAAGCTGGAGCTCGAGAAGATGCAGGCCATGTTCGCGACCGAGACCGCGGAGGTGCAATCTTGATTGGACGAGGCCACCCAGGTTCAGAAGAACCTCCAGACGCGTCTCGACGAGAAGCGGCGGGACGCGGACGGCAATGCGGTGGCCCTGGACCACGCTGCGGGCGAGCGGATGGTGCACCAGATGACGGTGGGCAGGCTCCCCGTGGCGACGCTGCCGCCGCCGCTAGGCCCTCGGCAGCACCGGCTCCGGAGGAGAAGGAGGAGGCGGAAACGGAGAAGGAGGAGGAGGAGGAGGAGGAGGAGGGGGAGGAGGGGGAGGAGGGGGATAAGGAGGAGGAGGAGGAGGAGGAGGAGGAGAAGGAAGAGGAGGGGGACCTCGGCGCTGTCTTCCAGGCCTCCCAGAGCGTTCCAGGAACGCGCCAAGAAGGCTCCGAGACGCCCCCGAGACGGTCCAAGGGGCCCCGAGTCGCCGAAAGATTGCTCCAAGACGCCCATAATGGTCTTCAGACGGCCCTAACGCCGACGAGAAGCTCCAAGAGAGCCTCAAGAGACCCTCTGAGAGGGCCCGACAAGCTAAAATCGTCTCATTTCCTTTGGGAAATGTGCATTTCTGGCATAGACGACGTTCGGAGTTTCACAGCGTCCAAGACTGCCCAAGAGCCCCCAAGATCGCCCCAAGATGGCCCAACATGCCCCCAAGATGCGCCCAAGAGGGCCCAAGAGGGCTCCAAGAGGGCTCCAAGAGGGCCATAGAGAGAGAACTCGAGACATTTGAAGCTTTCTGACCCCAGGGACCCCTCCGAGACCGCCAGCAGACTCCCAAGAAACACCCAAAGTCCCAAGGAGCCCCCGAGAGGCCCAAAATCAGAACCCCAGGGCACCCAAAAACGGCCCTGACGAGGCCTCAAGAAGCTTCAAAACTGCCTCCAAAAGGCTTCCGCGACACCTGCCAGGCGACCCCAACACCGCCGCATCAAATGTCCCCTGCGCCCCATCGACAAGCCCCAGAGTGAGCATCCCCGACCAACAAACCCCCACAAAGGCACCCGAAGCTAGCCGCCCCGTGAAAAGCGACCGATTCCCCGACAGCTCCCAAGAAATCCAGACGAATCGCCCCAGCATCATGCCCCACGCAACGCCTCAAAAAACAGCCGACGCCCCTGCAGCTCAACACCGCCAACGACCACTCGGCCAGTCGACGCAGCAGTGCCCAAAAATGGGCCGGCGGAATGAGCGAAGCGATTGAATAATCTGTGAGGAGGAGCAGGCCATCGCGCAGGAGGCGGTCCGCCCGTCGGCGGTCAAGCTCCAGGCGGCTGCCAAGGCGGAGCCCCAGAAGGCGGCATCGATGGGCAAGGGCGCAGCCAAGGGGGGGGTGTTACGCTCACGACGCATACGCTTTAGAACATCAACTGGGGCTGGGGCTGTGGCTTTGCACTACCAATCAAAACTTCGCTGCCAGAAACTTGCTTGAACTCGTAATCGAAGGGTTACCTTGATCATATAGATAGCCGCTCTGGCCCAAGGTCTACAGCAAGGCCGAAATCGCCAGGAGGACCCAACGGCAGCCAACTTGAGCTGCCCCTTTCAATTACTGACATACCAGCCTCATCCACATCGTCCTCCCCTCCGCCGTTCTCCACATCCTCCTCATCCTCATCCTCCTCCTCCTCCTCCTCCTCCTCCTCCTCTTCCTCCTCCTCCTCCTCCTCTTCATCATCATCATCAGCATCATCTTCTTCATCGTCACCATCATCGTCATCAGCCTCCTCCTCCTCATCCTCCTCCTCCTCCGCCTCCTCTTCCTCCTCCTCCTCCTCCTCCTCCTCATCATCATCATCAGCATCAGCATCAGCATCAGCCTCAGCCTCAGCCTCAGCATCATCATCATCATCATCATCATCATCATCATCATCATAATCATCATCGTCATCAGCCTCCTCCTCCTCCTCCTCTTCCTCCTCCTCCTCCTCGTCATCATCAGCAGCATCATCATCTTCATCGT